TTGTGAGGAAACAAAAATGCGCCACTTTTTTGAAGGGATGAATTTTAACCGAAAAATTTGGGAAAGATTTAAAATAGTGGATCCCTGTGTGAAAAGCAGGGGTGTTGGCCCCAAAGTGCTTTAATTTTAAAACATAGCCAAAGGGCTAAATGCAAGGGGTTTTTTGGGGATGACCCGGTGTTTCTGGAAGAAAAGCAACGGTCATTACAAGAGAGGAAAGGCCATTCCCGGAAATAAATGAAAGACAGGCATTGTTGATGAGTGCAAAAGAACTGTATTCGAAAAGTGACCTTTTTTTGTTATACCAAAACATCCGCTTAGGCAAGTTTCCTCAGGATGTTTGTGTTGCGTGGGGTTCGTAAGGAGGTCACAAAGGGAATTTTCAAACTTTTCCCATCTTTCCCCCTGGAAAATCCAACTGAAAAAATTGCTTAATTTTTGTAAAAAAATGCCCTGGTCAACAGACCACCGTTATGGGAATGTTTTTGTTGTTTGCACTCCTAATAACGTCCTCCACCCAAAACAACAGGTTCTCAATTTCAAATTACCCAAAAACCGTTTGGGAAGAATGATCAATTCATAATAAGGTTTCCCTTTTTTTCCAATTTGTCCAAGGAAAAGCTTGGGAAAACAAAAAACGAACCGGGAAAAAAGACGGGGAAAAAGGGAATTTTAAGTTTTGAGGAATGAAAGGGGCCTTGTGGGTCCTTGTTTCAAGGGAAAGTCCGGTTTAATTGAGGATTGTAAATTGGTGGAAAAATGGAAAAAAGAGACAGTAGTATTAAGAACAAAGGCCCGATGAAAAACCAAAGGGAAAAAATTAAATTATGATAAAACTTTAAGTGCTGAGGAATTATTGGTGTTCCCCAAATTCAAGGGGGTATATTTTAATAACATTTAAACATTTGGTCCTAAAAGGAACGTAGGTAAAGGAATGAAAAAAATTGGAAAGAAAAAGAAAAAAAAAAAAAAAAACCCCAAAATTAATATAATCCTAAAGGGATTCCCCTTCTAAACACACAAACTCTTCCCCCCCCACCCCACTAAAACTTCTAAGTAATGTCATTTAATTTTTTTTGTTTTTTATTAAAAAAATTTCAATTTGGTTAAAAAAATTTTTTTTTTTCAACTTTTGGCCTTGCCGGATTAATTTTGGTTTCCATATTTAGGGAAAAGTCCTAACTTTTTGGGAAAAAGTAAGCCCCTTTACTAAAATCAAGTCCCCTTATAAAATTTTTATTATGATATTATATGGGAAAATAATTAAATTGGGAATTATTTATAAATATTTTTATATATAATGTTTGTTTTTTTTTTTTTTTTTTTTTTTTTTTTTTTTTGGGATAGGTTGGGAGACAGCAACCACCCAGGGAGGTACTACCGTCCTGCCAAGTGAGTGTAAAACGAAAGCCTGTAATTGTTTACAGATGGTAGGATTGCTGGTGTCTTTTGTCTGTCTCATAAATATGCAAGATTACAGGACATCTTGCTACTTCTACTTACACTTAGGTCAAAACTACCATACATGTACACGTTTATTTTTTACACACTCATCTGAGTTTTCTTTGATTTTATCCCTTTAAAAGTTCTTGGTTTATTACTTTTTCCCTTTTAATCCATGGGGAAGTGGAATAAGAATCTTCCTCCGTAAGCCATGCGTGTTTTTAAAAGTCAACTAAAATGCCGGAACAATGGGCTAGTAACCCCTTTTCCTGTAAAAAATTACTAAAAAGAATAACAAAAAAGAAAAATTGTCAAAGTGGAAGTCTGAATGTGCGTGGATGTTGTGCAAATGATAAGAAAGAGATGATTGTGGGTGTTATGAATGAAAGAAACTGGATGTCCTGGCTTTAAGTGAAACAAAGCTGAAGGGGTGGGAGAGTTTCAATGAAGGAATAAATGGGATTAGGTCAGGGTTTCAAATAGTTAGAGCTAAAAAAAGGAGTAGCAATAATGTTGAAGGATAAGCTATGGGCGGAAAAGAGGGCTACAAATGCATAAAAATTTAAGGATTTGTGGAGTAAAATAAGACTGGATGTGAAAAGTGGGTTATAGTAACGTGTATGCACCTGAGAAGAAAGAAGTGTAGAGGAAGAGAGAGATTCTGGGAAATGTTGAGTGAATGCGTGGGAGTTTGAATCAAGTGTGAGAGATAATGGTGGTTGGGATTTCAATGCTAAAGTGGGTAAAAATGTTATGGAGGAGTAGTAGGTAAATTTGGGTGCCAGGGGTAAATGTAAATGGGGACCTTTAAATTGAGCTATGTGTAGAAAGAAATTTGGTAATAAGTAAAACATATTTTAGAAAAAGAGGATAAATAAATATACAAGGTATGAGTAGCACGTAATGAAAGTAGTTTGTTTGATTATGTATTGGTGGATAAAGGTTGAAAGGGTAGGCCTCCAGGATGTACATGTTTATAGTGGGGCAACTGATTGTCAGATCATTATTTAGTTGTGCTACAGTTAGAGTAAGAGGTAGATGGAAAAGAGGAAGGTGGCAACAAAAAGTAAGAGGGAGGTGAAAGTGAAAAAAATTAAGGGAGAGGAAGTTCGGGCGAGATATAAGCCCACTATTGGCAGAAAGGTGGGCTAGTGCAAAGAGAGTAGGGGGGGGGGGGTTTAAGAGGGTTGGGAAAAGTTTTAAAAATGCAGTATTAGAATGTGGGCAGAAAATTTGTGGTTATAGGAGGGTGGGGGCAGGAGGGAAAAAAAGGGGTGATTGGTGGAATGAAAGAAAATAAAGGGTGTGATAAAAGAGAAAAAGGTAGCTTACGAGAGGTTTTTTACAAAGCAGAAGTGTTATAAAAAAGCAGAGTATATGGAGAGTAAAAGAAAGGTGAAGAGAGTGGTGAGAGAGTGCAAAGGGAGGCAGATGAAAGAGTGGGAGAGGCACTGTCAAGAAATTTTAATGAAAATAAGAAAAAATTTTGGAGTGAGTTAAACAAGTTAAAAAGCCTAGGGAAAGTATGGATTTGTCCCTTAAAAACAGAGTAGGGGAGTTAGTAGATGGGGAGAGAGAGGTATTAGGTAGATGGCGAGAATATTTTGAGGAACTTTTAAATGTTGAGGAAGAAAGGGAGGCGGTAATTTCTGCACTGGCCAGGGAGGTAACCCCTCTTTTAGGAGTGAAGAAGAGCAGAATGTAAGTGTGGTGGAGGTACGTGAGCATTACGTAGAATGAAAGGGGTAAAGCAGCTGGAAAACTGATGGGATCATGACAGAAATGTTAAAAGCAGGGGGGGGGGATATAGTGTTGGAGTGGTTGGTACTTTTGTTTAATAAATGTATGAAAGAGGGGAAGGTACCTAGGGATTGGCGGAGAGCATGTATAGTCCCCTTTTTATAAAGGGAAAGGGACAAAAGAGACTGTAAAAATTATAGAGGAATAATTTACTGATATCCAGGGAAAGTAACGGTAGAGTTATAATTGAAAGAATTAGAGGTAAGACGAATGTAGAATTGCGGATGAGCAAGGAGGCTTCAGAGTGGGTAGGATGGTAGAAACAAGTGTTTACATTGAAGCATATATGTGAACAGTAAATTTTGGATAAAGTAGGAAGTTTTATTGCATTTATGGATTTAGAAAAGGCATAATGAAAAGAGTGGATAGAGGAGCAATGTGGCAGATGTTGCAAGTATATGGAATAGGTTTAAGTTACTAAATGCTGTAAAGAGCTTTTATGAGGATAGTGAAGCTCAGGTTAGGGTGTGTAGAAGAGAGGGAGAATACTTCCCCGGGTAAAAGTAGGTCTTAGACAGGGATGTGTAATGCCCACCATGGTGTTTAATATATTTATAGATGGGGTTGTAAAAGAAGTAAATGCTAGGGTGTTCGGGAAGGGGTGGGATTAAATTAGGGGGAATCAAATTCAAAATGGGAATTGACACAGTTACTTTTTGCAGATGATACTGGGGCTTATGGAGATTCTAAAGAAAAATTGCAAAGGTTAGTGGATGAGTTTGAGAATGTGTGAAAGGTAGGAAGTTGAAAGTGAACATAGAAAAGAGTAAGGTGATGAGGGTATCAAATGTTTAGATAAAGAAAAATTGGATATCAAATTGGGGGGAGGAGTATGGAAGAAGTGAATTTTTTTCAGATATTTGGGGATTTGACGTGTCGGGGGATGGATTTATGAAGGATGAGGTAATCATAGAATTGATGGGGGAAAAAGGTGAGTGGTGCGTTGGGGTATATGTGGAGTCAAAAAAACTTATCAAATGGAGGCAAAGAAGGGAAGGTATGAAAGTATAGTAGTACCAACACACTTATATGGATGTGAAGCTGGGTGGAAAAGGGGCCCCGAGGAGACGGTTGGGGGCAGTGGAGATGTCCGTCAAAGGGCAATGGTGGTGTAAATATTAGGGCAGAAAATCGGAGTGTGGAAATTAGGAGAAGGGGGATTTAAAAAAAGGGCATTAGTCAGAGGGCAGAAGAGGGGTTGTTGAGGTGGTTGGTCATTGAGAGAATGGATAAAATAGAATGACATGGAAACATATAAATCTTTTGGGGAAGAAAGAGGGTAGGGGCGCCCTGGGAAAGGTTGGAAAAGGGGTTTAAAGGGGGTTTGTGGGCGAGGGGCTGGTTTTTCCAGCAACGGCATGGCGTGTTAGATGGATGAATGAGACAATGATACTTGGACCTAGATCGTTTGAGTGACGGAAAATATATGAACGGGATTCAGGAAACCTATTTCAATAGTCGGACTTATCCGGAAAATGGAAGACATGCCTGCACTTTAAGGAGGGTTGGGAATTGGCTTGGAGGGATATTGTGTATCTTTAAGTGTAGCTTCAACTGTTTGTATTTGAGCACCTCGCAAAAACAGTGATAATGTGTGAGTGTGGTGAAAGTGTTGAATGATGATGAAAGTATTTTCTTTTTGGGGATTTTCTTTCTTTTTTGGGTCACCCTGCCTCGGTGGGAGACGGCCGACTTGTTGAAAAAAAAAAAAAATTATTTCTATTAGTGTCAATGTTATTTTATTCTTTTCATTCTAGTGTCAGCAAAATTGATGCTTATAAAAACAGAACAAAGGAACTAGAACAAGAATACAAGACCTGGAAAAGCTTAATGAAGGAGAGGAAGATAGCTTGTCAGACTGCTGAGAGGTAAGAGTACACTGGACACTTAAGTCATCACAATACCTTAAATGCTCAGCTATGAAATAACATGCTACCACTTGTGCCAGGTCACCCAGGTGAACTCCTGTTTTCTTAGCTTATTACTTAAGCTAAGTAAAGTAAAATTTATTTGTTGGTAAAGGTTACAATGTGTAATTACAATTTTGATTTGCTAAGTAAAAAGATAGCAACTATCGTGCCGAGGCATTTTGAGCAAACTAATCCTAATACATAGTAACTAATTAAAACTAGATAATATAATAGTACATACCAACTATACTTAAAACTAGACAAGAAGTAGTGGTTAACTGTTTTACAATCTTATTTAAATTTAATATGTACAAGTGAGAGATTGTAAGGTGGAGTAGGGTTCGGTAAAATAATCTTGAAGTTGCACACAAAATCTACCTTGCAAATAATGGTGCAGGTGGTAATATTTTATGGATTGGCAGAATTATTAACCATGAGGTCACATAATAAAACTAATTAGCAGATGTTTTGGCTGATTTGGTTAATATTGAGAGAGATGATGATTTTATGGGCTGGTAGAATTAAGAGCCTTGAGTTAAGCTCATAGACAAGCTAGAAAAAAATCCAAGATAAGTTGCAAAATGGTTGGTAGAGTTGAGCAGTAAGAGCTACAAAGAAAGCCCGAAAGTGTTAGATATGCAGATTGCATCTGTTATCTTTTCATGTGTTAAATTAATTTTGTGAAACGAAGTGAATCAACACACTTTTGTTGGCTAACTAGTTATTTGATTGACTTCGATACTATATGGCATTATAATTTAAACATAATTTTTAAAGGAGTGGACTGGTAAACCAGCAGAAGGCTTCTGTCAGATGACCAAAGGCTCCAGCTGTGGGTCATGTGACTAAGACCTGTGTCTTGTTTCCTAACAAAACTTACCTAACCTATACGGTGGTAGTCAGTTTGTACCTGGTGTCTAATTCAGCCTTGTTTAGGATTTCTTGTATAAATTGTATGATATGTGCCAAATACAGTACATGTATTGGTTTCCAGACAATTTCAGTTTTTCTTACTACAGCTAGCCCTCCACTTTCACGAGTTCCACTTTCACGAGCTCCTGCTACTACCCCTTGCACCTCACCTGAGCCTCAACCCGTGGCAGAATCTGACTCCATTGCTAACTCTGACTCTAGCTGTTGGCAGTGAAGAGTTAGAATCCACACACTAGACTCATGCCATGCAGTTGCACTCCATATAATTCACCTCCATTCAATTGTCATCAGTAGCCGCATGGCTAACTATCATCACCATCATCGTCATTGTCATCATTACAAGTCCATCAGAGTTCGTCTGCCTAACCTTACGAGTGGTGTCTGTTCATTATTTGTTATACGTCTTGCGCCACTGTTTCTGATGTATAAATTCTAGCGGCTTCAAATCAAGCAGAAGAAAACTGGTAGGCCCACATGTGTGAGAATGGGTCTCCATGGTCAGTGTGCACCATATAAAAAAAATTGGGGAGCCAGTGGTGCATTGTGGGAATGCCATTTCAGTCCTCCTTTTTCAACATGCCTAGTGTAAGAAATATGTGACTCCCCAACAATTCTGGGAATCTTCTCTTCCCAAGTGATGCTCTAACACAGATGGAAGTGTCAGTGAAGATCAATTTCATGGTTTTGAGTAGTTTGAGACCAAAAGTAATGCCCAGGATACCAGAAGAATGAAGGAGGAAGAGAAAGACAAAGAGGAGGAGGAGAAGGAGGAAGAAGAGGAGGAGGAGGGCAGGAGGAAGAGAAGGAGGAAGAGGAGGAGGAGGAGGCAGAGAAGAAGGAGGAAAGGAGGAGGAGGAAGAGGGGGAGAAGAGGAGGAGGAAGAGGGGGAGGAGGAGGAGGAAGAGGGGGAGGAGGAAGAGGGGAGGAGGAGAGGAAGAGGGGGAGGAGGAGGAGGAAATGGGGGAGGAGGACAGGAGGGGGAGGAGGAGGAGGGGGGGAGAAGGGAGGAGGAAGGGGGAGGAGGAGGAGGGAAAGGAGGAGGAGGAGGGAAAGGAGGAGGAGGAGGGGAGAAGGAGGAGGGGGTGGGAGGGAGGAGGAGGGGGGAGGAGGGGAGGGGGAGATGGAGGAGGAGGAGATGGAGGGGGAGGAGAAGAGATGGAGGGGGAGGAGAAGAGATGGAGGGGAGGAGAAGAGATGGAGGGGGAGGCATGGAGATGGAGGGGGAGGAGAAGGAGATGGAGGGGGAGGAGATGGAGAGGGAGGAGGAGGAGAAGAAGAATAGGTAATAATAATAATAGGTAATAATAAGTTGCCTTGAAGCATGAAAAACAAAGTCCACACTGACAGTGACATAAGATGAGATAACTGATAAGAACTGAAGTTTGATGAGCATACACGAGGGTGGGGGAGGGGGCAGCAGATAAGAAAAGATTAGAGGTGACGTTTGATGAGCATAACTGTCACTTTTTTCGCTGGTACACAAACATGTCTGTCTGTCTGTCTGTCTGTCTATTTGTCTGTCAAGCTCCCTGTCTATCCGTCTAGCTCTCTGTCTCAGAGAAAGCCACAAGGCTGCGTCATCACCTTTACTCACATCTTCAAGCAGAGTATAGCACTTTGTCTGGATTTTTTGGTTTGTCCTAGGTAATTTACACTGCGTATATTTGTATTTATGTGTACCTGTGAGACAGAGATATACAGACAGAAAGAGAGAGAGACACTGAAAGAGATAGAATGAGGGAGAAAGATAATTAGATAGAATGGAGGGGAAGCAGCATCTGACCCCATTGTTTTGACAGGCAGTAGGGGGAGTGAGTAATGAGACAATGTCATTTTGACAGCTGCTGACTCCTGACTCAAAATAATTATAAGCCACACACACACACACACTCTCACACAAGACAAGCTTGATGAATGAAGATAATAGCAGTTATATGAAAGTATCCAGGGACTATATATGTGTATATATATTATAGAAACCAGAAGGAAAGAAGGGAAGGCAGGAATGAAGGATGGACGAGATGAAAGGAAGGAAAAAAGTAAGGAAGGAAAGACGAAGGAAGGTAGGAAAGGAATGCAGGAAGGTAGAAAGTTAGGTAGGGAAAAGGGAAAGCAGAAGGAGGAAAGGATGCAGGAAGTAGAAAGTTAGGTAGGAAAGGGAAAGCAAAGGGAAAGGGAGGAAAGAATGTAGGTAGGTAGGAAAGGAATGTAGGGAGGTAGGGAAAAGAATGTAGGAAGGTAGGAAAGGAATGAAGGAAGGAAGGAAGGTAGGAAACAATTGCAGGAAGGTAGAAAGTTAGGTAGGAAAGGAATGTAGGAAGGTAGGAAAGGAATGCAGGAAGGTAGGAAAGGAATGCAGGAAGGTAGGAAGGAAAGTAGGAAATGATTGCAGGAAGGCAGAAAGTTAGGTAGGAAAGGAATGCAGGAAGGTAGGAAAGGAATGTAGGAAGGTAGAAAGGAAGGAATGATGACACACGTCCATTTACCTAGGATAACTACACAACACAACTGCCTGCTCATACTTTGAAGAAAACTTCTCAGACAAGGTGTTTTGTCTTTGCACATAAAAAAAAGAAAGTCCACAAAAATGCACACACACTCGTTTTATGTGTGAAGAGTGTAAAACACCATTGTGTATGAAAACGTTTCAAAAGAGTTCCACAAGCTGCAGAACTTCTAGGAACATGTCCAGTGACTGTACATTAGTATACATGTATATATTATAGAACAATAATAATAAACAGCTTTTTGTATTGTTTGTTTTTGTAAACAATATATTGATAAATATGTTTGTGTGCATATTGTGTTGTATACAACGAGTGTATATATGTACATTGCACTTTACTTTGGTCTCACAGGCCACATAAGTTACCTGAAAAAATAAAATAATGAAAAAAATGACAAACCTTCAAATACAAGTAAACCAAAGTTTACCGGGTGAGCGGCAGTCGCCGCTGTTGCCACAAGCGGCTCATTTTCTGCAAACTTCACGCCTCTATATCTTGGTAAGTACTGAAGATTTGAGAGGTTCTTGATCCCCTACCCCTCACAAATGTGGAGGGCCTCCTGTAATAGTAAATCTTGATAGATGAAAATAAATTAATACATTTATTTCTTGAGAGCTGCAGTAAAGTGTATAGCTAATAATAAGACTGATGCATATTTCTCTTTAACAATTTATTATTATGATATTAATACATTGTTTCAAATGCCAAAAAAAATGTTTGTCATACTTGTGACCTTCTTGAAGGTTCTTGTTCCTGCGCTGCCTGGCTTAAGGCCAGGCACTCCCGTTGATTATCTGGTAAGCCAGGTTGTTGTTGCTAGCAGTCAGGCGTACATAACTATAACAACCTGGCTGACCAAGTATTTGCAGATGATAGTGGCTCCCATTGCTCCTGTAACTTTGTCAAGGATTGTATGCATGGAACATAAAAGTTGACATTATCTTCTCAAGTGAGGGCCAGTGGCAGTGTGAGAAGAGAGAGAAATCCATGTGGTACTATCTTTAACCCTGAAACTGCCCAAATGTAGATCTACGTCTGCGTAGCGCTCCGAACGTAGATCTACATTTTTTATGTGCTTTCTCGTGGAGAAAATCAAGGTCGGAGAGCTACACACGTAAACATAGATCTATGTTTGGACAGTTTAATTGTTAAAGTGGTTGGTGTTGAAGTACTGAGACATTTATTTAATTCCCTTTATATACATTTTTTTTTTTCAACACTGTCCCTCTCCCACTAGGGTAGAGTGACCTATGACATAAAACACTTGAATCATCACTCATTCCATCACTGTCTTACCAGAGGCACACCAGTACTACAATTCAAAACTGCAAATATCCTCACCCCCTCCTTCAGAGTGTAGACACTGTACTTCCCATCTCCAGGACTCTTAACTGGTTTCCCTGAATCCCTTCATGAATGTTACCTTGCTCACACTCCAACAGCATGTCAAGTATTAAAAGCCACTTGCCTCCACTTGCTTGTATCTCTCTTTCTTTCTCTCTCCTCCTCTCTCTCTCT